TCTTGGTTGTCATCTGTATCGTAAGATAGTTCTCTTTTGAAATATGACGAACGTGCGCATAAAATCAACCAGTGTGCATGGAAGATCTTCGAGTGTCCTTCTTCTCCAACTTGAACAGTAACATCTGTATTGAATGGTTCTTCATACAAACGCTTGAATTCGTTTGACAGGTGTCGAATCAAATCCACTTTATATGTCATTATTAATTCATTGCCTTCGCTTGGGGACTACAATATAAATAGTGAACAACCCTTATCAAGCAGAACAAAGCGATTACAGTGTAAAGTATTTACCTGCTAGGTCGTACAGCCCATTAATATTCCCATTTATGGTTAGAAGCAAAACAACCAATAATATTTTAGTTTTGAATACGATTATATCCCATAGTAATAGTAATAGTAATAGTAATACAGTCAAAGCTCGATATAGTGAAGCCTCGATATAGGAAGATTGCACTATAGTGAAGAATTTCTCTGGTACAAACAGCATTAGTAAATTTTTACTCGATATAGTGAAGTTATACAGTAAATGCTCGTTATGCCTAGCGATAAATTCAATTTAAGACTCGAATGTAAAAAACTCGTTTGCCTCCTTTGTTCAATACGTTTCATGACAATTTCCTTTCTTAATCTTCCCAAATTCAAAGCAAAACTCGCATCGTCATCTAAGTCGTTCACATAGTTCTTTTTTGCTGTTGAGGTAACGCGAGTTCGTTTGTTTATATCACTTTGTTGAGAAGCATTTTCTTTTATTATTTAAATTGATATGACCACAAGTCGACATTATGTTAAGTTTGTAACTTGTTAGATACGTGTAGCAGAAAATGGGAAAAGAATCTTATTCTTGTGTATGACGGACTTTATTACACAAATCCGTTATATCGAGATAAAGCTAAATTAAATGTGTTCGGGGCAAATCCGCTATATCTCACTGTTTAATATAAAAGTCCGCTATAATAATAATACTTAGTGAAAATTCCGTCCCAGCAAAAAAGTCCGTATAAGGCAAAATCCGTAGTAAAGATTGTACCACATGATAGATTTTGACCAATCATGGAGATTTTATGGAGGAGCTGTTGAAACGGGTGTCCGGTTCATTTCATCGACAATCATTTTACCGACAGTACACATAAATTTCATCGAAAACCAATGATAAGTGCGATAAACAATGTGTCACGTGAAATGACTGTCGGTGAAGTGTACTGTCGATGAAATGATTGTCGATGAAATAAATGCCTCCCGTTGAAACTTATATACCTTGTATTAAAAAAGGATATCATTATGATGTTAATAGTTTAGGGATTATGTTTTTGTAAATCACAATGATTTTAAAAAATGTTTACCTACTCTTCAAGAAGCACTTTTTTTATATATATAAATGCAATATACTGTAAATCGTAAAAATTTGATAGGACATAATGAAATTTTTAATATTTCATTCCCAAGTTTTAGCGTTGAAAGTAAGTGTGTTTATGAATGTTTATGTATGTATTTTTATTGCGAGAATTCGTTTCGAATTTACGATGGAAAGTAGGTTTGCATAGAAATATTGTTGAAGATTTATTGGAGAAAGATTCGTTGGTAGAAAACTTTACATGAAATAAAACGTAGTGACGTTGTTAACCCATCAACGATGAAATTCATATTGTCTGAATTACACGTTCACTTGAAATATGCGCATTGACACTAAGCAACATACATATGTCAATAGGCTGAAACAAATATTATGTTGCGTGCCTATTCCGAACTAGAACACGAATTGAAAATACGCAGTCTTAACATAAATCTTCGACCTGACATTCATTATGATGGCTAGACTCATTTATTAATTGAATCTCTGGATCATTACAATATCCCACCATAGGAAATAACGAGAAAATAAACAGATCTATACAAAATGCCTTCAGTTTAGCCTATGCTACAATTGCAAACTTGAATTTATTACAATATTCCAACTTATCTGATGCTGATTATTTTGTAGTATAATGAACCATGTAATCTATAATTCCATGTAGAAATCATTCCTGCGCTGTATACGCAGTCCACGTGGCATTATTTAATTTTCAAACTGTGATTGGAATTTATATACATCAGACCATGTCACACACATGTGGCACCAGATAAAATGCATTGGGATAATTCGTAGTGCTCGTCCAAGAAGTCCGAACTGATAAAGCAACGGACTCCGAAGAAATATAAAAAAAATAGAGGAATATTCCCAAACTGAAAGAAGACGAGTACGAAATCGAGAAACTTAGAAGAGATAATTCATATGGCAACTTATGCCATTGGTTCTCCAAACAGTCCCGAAGAAAGTGTACGTAACGATCAGAATAATGGACGAAGAAACCACTTCACTACAGTTGTCTCGCTTACAGAATCGCACGTGTTCTCAGTGCGAATCGTTGAGCCAGTGTCTCCTGAGAGCGACGACAGGACGATCGTCGACGTCGACGGGATGACCGAGACGAATGACGAGAAGATGTCTGGTATGAGGAACTTGTTCTAATTTGTCTTTCGGTTGCATTGGTTTGTTGTCCGTATTGAATTAACTGATTACATGTTGATAAAACTGTTACTTTTAACATTATCATAAACAAGCTCGACAACGTGTACTCAGATCGGGGTCGGTTTTCGATAGAGTCGAGGTTATGAATGATATTATGAAGACCCGTATGTAACTAAGGAATTCGGTTTGACTTATTAATTAAACGTTTCTGGACTATAAACGATGTTTTCTTATCCATGTAGTTGCAAGACCTGAGCTAAGTAAAAAACGACCGGCGCAGAAAACCAAGACCAATGGGATAAAGAAGGCCTGTAGAGAAGATGGAACAAAGCCTCTAAAGCCTCGCATAGAATTTCCTCGAGGAGAATTGCTTGGAATTAAGCGTCGCAACATAACAGTAAGTACTGCAAAGGTTTCTGTTTAAATTACATTGGATTAGGAAGGTTTAACCTTTTAGCTATAATTTGGACACAGGGAAGAAGACACGTTCAGGCTACACGATGCATGGCAGGGTTGTATCAAGCGTTTGAGCGTTGTACGGCGTGCATTGCTCGCAAACAGGAGAACACGTGTCGGTTTGCAAATTTTCGGGTGTTTGAGGTAAGTTTTATTATATGTGACGACGTAAACCCGCACCATTAGTGAGAACACTTTCTACTCAGGTTATTATCGGGGACAAAAAAGATGAACTAATTTTCGGTCCCGACTTCGAATCGAGAACGGATCCGGATCCGCCATTCACATATCCAAACGAATTTCCGAAAAATCCGCTGTGAGTTTTGTTCCCTTTGTTTACAACACGATGACCAGCATTTTGACACTTGTTACACGTTGGTAGAACCATTCACCGCCACGAATACATCGTCAAGACCACTGCCCGAACTCTAGACGGAATTCTTGAACGCGAACTTCGCCATTTAGACCAGCCAGATGTATTTCGTCGGCTTCCAGATCGGGGGGTACGCCAACTTTGTGACGTTTGTCTGACCACAATTTTTGCTGGCTACTGGATGTGTCCCGTTTGCGCAAAGGAAATTTGTTTGAGCTGTTACGACGAATGGGATGAAAGCGTTGAAGGAGAACCACCAGGCCAATTGGCTTTCGTGGTTCGATGTTCGACGACGAAGCAAAGTCAGGTCAAAAGGCAGCATGCTAAAGATCAATTGGTAAGCAAAAAAAACGACAACAAAAACAATATAAGCTTTAAAGCGTGAGCGGTAAACTGATCCTATTTTCATTGTCTTTCGAAGGTTGCTGTGTCACATTTGTCGCGTGATGAATGTGTGGGAGTGCTTCAGGAGACGAAAGATATCGTCCCTATAAGCTTCTTAAACAATGTTAGTCTTGAAACCGATACGAGCAAACTATACTACGACGCAGACGACATATCTTTCGAGGATTTCCAACGCCACTGGAAGACGGGACTTCCGATGGTAATAACTAACCTGGGCAAACGGAGTCAAATTCGGTGGACACCTGAATACTTTATTAAAGGTCAAGCAGGAGAAATCTGCCGTTGCGTTAATTCTAATGTACAAGGCGAGGAAATATTGATGACAGTTGATGAATTTTTTGCTGGATTTGATGACCACAGTCTCCGCAAGATCTCACAGAAGGGAACTCCCATATGTCTGAAGCTTAAGGTAATAATATGAACGTGTAAGGAATGAAAATCTTGCTGTTTCTCTAATTAATTCAACCTTCTGTCATCATTAGGATTGGCCCTCTGATGCCGATTTTAAAGATAAGTTTCCAGATTTGTTCGAAGACTTTTTCCGTTCTATACCCTTTCCGGAATATACCACGCGTGAGGGTACATTAAATCTTGCCAGTCGCATGCCGACGGATTTTGTTCGACCGGATCTCGGTCCTAAGATGTACAATGCGTATGGCTCCAGCGATAAGGCTGATGGGAGAGGCACTACGAATTTACATCTAGACATGACAGATGCGGTTAATTTGATGATGTATGCAACTCCACTCGAACAACGTCCTGAACATGAATTACGAGAAAGAGAGGATCGTCCATCAACCGACCTTCGTGAAGACTCCCCAGCTGCAGTATGGGACTTGTATCTCCCTGTGGATCTACCTAAACTTCGTGAATTCCTTCGTGGGATTGCTACGGAACAAAATCTGCGAGTAGACGATCCAATACACGATCAATGCTTCTATGTCGATAATCGGTATCGGGAACGTCTCAAGCAAGAATATGGAATTAGCGGTATACGCGTCTATCAGAATCCTGGCGATGCAGTATTTATACCTGCTGGATGCGCACATCAAGTGTGTAATTATACATCTTGTGTTAAAACAGCAGTAGATTTTGTTTCGCCTGAAGGAGTGGAAAGAAGTCTGTTGGTTAGCAATGAGTTTAGGCAGTTAACAAGAAACCATAAGAGAAAGGAAGACATCTTGCAGATTAAGAACATGATATTTCATGCTTGGAAGGATTGTCAGAAGTATTTGAGGGATAGAATAGAATCGAATCGATAGTTTGAATGGATAGACAGAACATAGTTAATTTGTTGTTAAAAGTAATCCTCTTTTTGGATATGCTTGTATTTCACTCTATTTTCGATTGATTTATTATTTCAATTGAACTGTACATATTTAATAGAAAACACTAATCGTTCTTCAAAGTCACCATTACTATTACTATTAGTTTGGACAGTACTCTTACAGTATACATAAACTGGATTATCGATCGTCGCTGCTCGACGAAACGAAATCATATAATTTTTTGTGGTTCTTATTCTTGGAGGAACAGACTCTGAAGGGTGCGATCTCATTGCTTAACCGTGAAAATGGGAGAAAGGTTGCATCGATTAAAAATAGTCATTAAAAGTCCGCACTCAATGCTGCACGCAGAATTTCCAAAGTTAGGGTACTTAAGCACTGTATCCGCAGGAAAATTTGATCGCCTAACCCTAAATATAATCCCATCGCCCGATTGGTGACATTGTTCACTGTTGTAATCCCCATGCAAAAGCAAAGGCAAAGGCAAAGGCAACGGGACTTGACTCAACACCTGTCAAAGGAGTTCGGGCATTTGTATGAAGAACAATTCAATACGGACGTTACTGTTCAAGTTGGAGAAGAAGGACACTCGAAGATCTTCCACGCGCACTGGTTGATTTTATGCGCACGTTCGTCATATTTCAAAAGAGAACTATCTTATGATAAAGATGACAACCAAGACAACTCACCAGGAAACTGCTCAATTCCCCATGTTATTGAACGCATTAAGCCCGAGACATTTGAAAAGTTGCTTGGGTAAGTCGAAACGAGTTTGCACATATTGTTGCATACAAGAGCTAAAGAGTTATTTTGATAGTTACATATATACGGGAATATTTCTTATTGAGGACGACATTAATAGTAATCTGGAAATGATTGAGGGTGCGAGAATACTTGAACTGAGTTCGATGGAAGCAATGCAAAGGGCGCTGATCCTGAGAAAGGAAGAGGCAATATTACATCAACTCGTGCATGTGAGTCGTTTTGCATCTCAACATAAGGAGTTTGAAATTCTTAACAATTTTTGCAAGGAGACCATTGAAGAATTTCCAGAGAATATATTCGCTGCTGCAGATTTCTCAGATATTGATAATGAAACTCTGATTGAACTATTAAACAGAGATATTGATTTACCTGAAGGTAAAATATGGGAACATGTTCTTCGTTGGGGTGTAGCCAAAAAACCTGGACTCGAATTAGATGACTGGAAGGATTGGTCTACTGCAGATATTGAGTTTGTGAAGGATATCCTTAAAGATTGTATTCCACTTATAAGATTTTTTCACATGGATGATGGCGAATATATTGAAAAAGTTGTGCCACTTATTCATTTGCTCCCACATCAGTTACGTGTAGATCTAGTTTCCTACAAACAGACTGAGGGTGCATATGAACCTAAATCAAATTTATTACCGCCCAGGAAAAGAGTGTCAACAACCAAGAAACCTCATAATATCTCAGACCCCTCCGCAAGCACCTCATCAACTCATAAGGAGCCTCCTATACATGCAGCAGATAGTCAAAGTGAACCTTTGAAGCCTCAACCAGAACCCAGAAGTTCACCAATGCCTTCAGATGTAAGTATTTCCCTAATAAGTTGACAGTGAATGATTGATGAGCCTATGTCCTAAAATTAATTTATTATCACTCTGTCTAAATACAGGCAAAAGCCAAGTCATTAATTCTTAACAATGCACAGATCCAGTGGGTATTAGGTATTGCAAAAACGATGATATGCAATGAGCATAACATGAAAGAGACATTTTACACATGCTCTCTTAAGTTACTTTATCGAGGTAGTATTAATGGTTATAAACCAAACAATTTCCATAAACGCTGTGATAATCGAGGGCCTACTATTACAGTTATTAGAACCAAGGAAAATAATGAGATAATTGGAGGATATAACCCCACAAGTTGGGACAAAAATATTTGTGGTAAACGGAAATTTACACATACACTTTATAGTTTTCTATTTGCAGTGAAGTCAACCGGCAATGTTGTAAGTTTTTGTCAAAAACCTGCCTCTGCTGTTCGTAATGAGGCAGGTTATGGGCCAGCTTTTGGTAGTGATTTAGTTGTTGTTGGTAATTTCTCATATCCTTGCAATAGCACAACTCAAGATTCATATGGTATACCTATTAGAGACAATAGTGAACCATTTTCTGTGGAGGAGATTGAAGTATTTAAGGTTGATTTAAATATGTCAATATTAATATAGGATAATAACATGTATTGTATAATGAAATGATCCTTTTAATATAGTTTATTATTCTATTGATGTACACTCCCCTGACAAAAGTCATGAGACTGTTCTAAAATTTACTAGTAAAACATATGAAAAAAAAATTTTTTTTCGAAAATCTCTTATTTGCAAACACTATATACAGTCACCGGCAAAAGTAATGGCGGTCAGTTTTTGGGATGTTGTGAGCGCAATTTGGTATATAAACACAAATAAA